AAACAGTCATAATGAACTACTTCTCTGCTGTAAGAATAAAGCCCAATGCATGCAGTGCATAATGTTACCACGAAACGAACATGTCAAGTAACCATAAAGCATGCTTTTCATTGACTGTATGCGTCACTATATGGGATGTAATGCACAGGTAAGGTGCGGCACCGCTTTCCATTGTGTCGTGTTCCACTGTTACAGGGAACTGTGAACCTAGCCTAAAGCCCCCCATACATTTACAGATGCACTGCCGATTTTTCGGCCGTTCAACGAGTCATCACGCGCCAAACACCTGAAAAATCATCTGGTGTGTTCTCAGCTCCGTCGGCTCCCCTTCGCTATGCGCTACCCTTGAAACCTTGTTTTCATTGTGTTTGTCTTTAATCTGGCATTATAGTAGAGTGTTGGCTTCCTAGCCAGCAGTTCTGTGGTGAAATGACATGTATGTTGCCTTCCTTTCCTTCAATGGATGTAGAAAATACATTAGCATAGTATATACATACAGAGGAGTCGGAGTCGGGGAGTCGGAGTCGGAAGATTTAGAAACTGAGGAGTCTGAGTCGGAGCATTTATCTACCGACTCCACAGCCCTGGATTTATCCACACCCTTCTGGCAGTGCGGCCATTGCAGTCAGGTCTCGCAGACTACGAGGAGTAGAAGTTGTCCGACTTGGCTGCAGTCAGTTTATACTCCACCCCTGCAGCCGCCAGCACATCGCACTCCACGTCGTGTCAGCTACAGACAGACCAAAGCCCAAGTTGAATGCAGCCATTGCTTCTTTAAGGGAGGATGGGTAAAATTACAACGTTGTCGGTGATTGGCTGTTGTGCTGGCATTCAGTAAACCTCTGCTCGATAGGCCATCGATTTGTCTGTCTCAGTGCATTCTCTAAAACGGAGCAAACTTGGTTGATCGAGTTTTATAGTCTGGGTGTATCATCGTGATCGTCCTTATTTTTTATCGATAAAAAATCGAGATCGTTTTATCGCCCAGCACTAGTTTGGTGTAACAATTTGCAGATTCTTTTTCCATTGCAGTTTGCAAATACTGCTTTTGATCCTCTATTAAAAAACACCTCTAGCAAACTTAAACAAAAATCGCGAAAAATGTTTGTTTTTTTTCTTTTTTGAAATTTGTGGGTTTCCATCAATGGTTTTTCAGTTTGAATCTTCAAGATCCAAAGTTTAATGGGAGCCCCACCTTTGTCTGCTGAATCAGCGTGGCATGAGATTCAGAAGTTTGTCATATTCACAGTAAATTTTCCCTTCCTCTGTGTGCTGAAAGTTTTACTGTAAATGTCATTCTGCTAAACGCAAAGTAGCACAAAAACGTGTATCAGAAGTACAGATTAAGGTACAAAGTATGAATTAAGGTGCATGTCCATTAGCACAAATATGTAAGTACAATATAACATGTATTGCAATGTTAACATAGTAATCAATGTATAGTAGTAATCTTAAGTATGGATGCTTCAGCCAAAGTAATAAGGACTCTGTTCTCTGGCTTCTGTTCTCTTAGCCCAGCTTGTCGCAGGAGGGTAGCCTTGGCGCTGCCTATCCTCAGGGCACTGTCGCCGGGGTGAAGCTGGAAGCAGTGATGGAGCAGCTCCAGCGCCAGCAGCAGGTCCGCTTGGAGATGGAGCGGAAGGAGAGACACATGCGCGAGTCCCACATCAAGTATGCTCAGCAGCTGGCAGCGCAGCAGGCCATCCTGGCAGCCGCCCGTGCTTCGGGTGCCGCCCTGGGACCCGGCTTCCTGGGCAAGGCCCTCGGGGGCGTCGTCTCCGGGGCTGGGCAGCAGCCTCAGGCCTCCACCCCGAGCAACATGGCGGACTCGGAGCGGGAGGACGACGAAGACCGGGGCCCAGATTCGGAGGAGGACGACGATGACGAAGAGGAGATGGAGGGTGTCGAGGGCAGCGAAGAGGATGGCGAGGGCGGCGGCGGCAGTGCCCTGGAGTACCTCCGGAAGCAGACCCTGGCTCTCCAGCAGGGGGCGACTCGTCTTCCCACCCGCCCGTTTCCTTTGTACTCTGCTGCTTCCTCGGCGCCTGGGGCCCAGCGGGGCCCTTCTCCACTCGTCAGGGTGAAGCAGGAGCCCGAAGATGGGAGCCCGTTGCCAGCAGGGTCCCAGTCCTCCGCATCGCCCAACGGACAAGCCGACTGGGGATACGGGGAGTCGTTCAAACAGGTGGGAGGCCGCGCGCCTCTGGCCGGCCCTGTGGCCCCGAGGCTCTCGCTGAACCCCGTCTAAGCTTCCCGCTCTCAGTCTGTCACTTCCTCACTCACTGGGAGGCTTGTCAGTTCTACTGGGCGATTGCGTGATTCACGTGACCGTCTTCCGCGGTACAGCTGGGGCCAGCTCCACTGTTTTAGGGGCCCTAGGCTAAGCTGTAGGGAAGCCCCCCCTGTCAGGAAAGCTGATGATCATTTCACTTCCTCTGCAACGTAGGTCATTCAGGCGCCCCAGGCAGCTGCATGTTCTGCCTATAGGCCCTGGCTAAAGCTGGCCTGTGTATGATAGGTACTTTCCTCCAGGAGATAATTCAGAGGTATTGGCATGTTTTAAAATATCAGGTCAGTGTGAAGCTGTACGGTCCCATGTTACGCATCGGCATCCCATCACGTATGCTTTTTTTAG